CAGGAATGAGGAGCAGAACAGGAGTTTTAACACTATTAATCCTACTCACACACTGAAGCAATGGGCTGCAGTCATGACTCATCTGCTGCTGATAAGGGTTCCCCCACAAATGTGAGCGTAGTACCTTGGGTCATTAGGATAGGCAATCTGAAGTGATACCTGGAGGAAACAACAACATATTTTACACCCAAGCCATGCTATACCTCTGCAGAAACAGTGTGTGTGGGTTTGAACAGTGGAAGATATCATTTTCTCACTGTTTTTTCCAGTATAAGGTTTTTCAAGTATAATGCACCAGCACTACCTGCCACTTCCAGCTGTTTGGTTGGGCTTCATGGCCTCCAGTTACTCGTCCTGTCAGCACTTCCTTCTGAAGAGCATCCCTGAGGGGACTTCCAGAGTTTGCCCCTAACACACAAAAAATTGGGAGCAGTTTGTCATGTGAATTCCTAGAGCACCTCAGTCATCACAGCCAGCTAGGTCTGAAGGATGGAGTGACTGACACTTCCACGTGGTGACACTGTGATCATTCTCCATCCTGGAGGCTTTTTTAAAACCTCCTTCATTGAAAAAGACCATGAACAGGCTTCAAGATACAAAGCTTTCATATAAACTGACTTGTTTCCCAAACTCCAACTCCATCCTGGTGCACCAAGCTACATCTCCTTTCTTTTGATTTGTAGATTTCCCCTCCCTCAGAGAACTTCCAGATCTGTCTGATGGAGATAATGCTTCTGCTATAGAGGAAAACCCTTCCACACTAGTTCTTGCCCTAGCACAGTAACTACAGAGAAAAAAATTTGATATACTCTAATCTGCACCACTTAGAGGTTGAGACGTTTATCCTTTCCCAGCTCAGACAAATTGCAACTTACCCAGGCCTAATCTGCACCACTTAGAGGTTGAGACATTTATCCTTTCCCAGCTCAGATAAATTGCAACTTACCCAGGTAACTAAAAAGAACCACAAACTGAAGCATCTTTAATGAAGTGGTTGCATTTTTTCCAAGAAAATATCTTTTTATACTAGAATATCTGGTAAGAAGCTGGGTCTAAATTTGTGATTAATGCGAGTTATCTATGCTCATGACTCATTAAACTGATCAAAAATGTTCTATATGTGGAAAAAACCTGAACTGTTCAAGGTAGAGCCCAAGGTTACACAAACACCTTCAGACTGTATGGTTCCCACAGGGCCATGAAGCAGAAAAAACCCTGATATATTTGGAGTTCTATCAGATCAAGTCAAAAACAGAGCAGGGCAAACCCAGGCTCAAGAGGACAACGGAGTTCTATCAGATCAAGTCAAAAACAAAGCAGGGCAAACCCAGGCTCAAACATCAGACTAGCAATTATGGATGCACACATTGCAATCCTTTGTAAGAAATTAATTTGTCAGTCTAGCTGTCTGCTACTCCGTGTAACCTGAACTGATCTTTCTCCACTAGGTAAAAAGAACAGGGAGAAGCATGACCACTGAAGGTTGTTCAGCCTAGGCTGGACATGTTAAACTGACCTTGGCTGGATATGCTGATCCTTTTTTAGGACCCTTTTCTGCTCCCTCCTCCCTGTGGAATGAGTTTTCTGCTGCTTGCCCCAAAATGCTGGCTCTCAGTGGCAGGCAAGGCAGTAAGGAGCTGGGCTGTGGCCACAGGGGAATGCTGCAGCTGGAAGAAACCTGGGCTGTCCCTGAGGAATGGAAAAGGCCCCAGGGTCACAGAATTGTTGAGGTTGGGGGTCTGCAGGTCATCTGGTCCAGCCCCACTGCTCAAGCAGGGCCACTGACAGCTGGCTGCCCAGGACCAAGTCCAAACAGTTTTTAAATAACTCCAAGGGCTGAGATACCAGAAGCTCCCTGGGACAATGGTGCTAATGCTCAGTCACCCTCACAGTAAAAAAGTGTTTCCTGATGTTCAGAGGGAACCACCTGTATTTCAGTTCGTGCTCATAGCCTTTGGTCCTGGCACTGGGCACCACTGAAAAGCACCTGGATCCATCCTTTATGCATCTTCCCTTCAGCTGTTTAAAAAAAGTGTTTCCTGATGTTCAGAGGGAACCACCTGTATTTCAGTTTGTGCTCATAGCCTTTGGTCCTGGCACTGGGCACCACTGAGAAGCACCTGGATCCATCCTTTATGCATCTTCCCTTCAGCTGTTTATGCACATTGATGAGATCCTCCCTGACCCTTCCCCTCTCCAGGCTGATCAGTCCTAGCTCTCTCAGTCTTTCCTTGAGGGAAAGGTGCTTCAGTTCCTTCATCCTCTTTGTGGCCCTTTTCTGGACTCTCCCCAGTATGTCCATATCGATCTGGTACAGTGAAGCCCAGAACTGCATCCAGTAGTCCAGGTGTGGCCACACTAGGGCTGAGTAGAGGGGAATGATCACCTCCCTTGACCAGCAGGCCATGCTTTGCCTAATACAGCTCAGGATAACATTCACCTTTGTGGCTAGGGCATACTGCTGGCTCATGTTTGACTTGGTGTCCTCAAGGATCCTCTGGACCTTTTCTGCCAAGCTGTTTTCCAGCAGCCTGGGACAGGCACCAGGTAATATTGCCAAGACCTTCCTTAATGTAGCACTTCAGAAGAAAATGTAGAAGCCTTTATCATAGATAACTTTCTTCTAGAGGGATGTTTTCTCTGCCTGTTTATGTCCCCATTAACTGCAGGCCCCTGACCATTTTGTACTTGTGGAGCATCATGATTTATATCTATGTAACGGTTTAAGGCATCGATCTGGGAGCATAGCAGATGCATAAGTTCTTCAGTAAAATATAAATACATCTCTACGTGTCCAGAGAGGAAGAAAACAAGAAACACCTGTAGCTGCTGGAAACCCAGAGACTTGTTTCCACAATGAGGGGAAATACCTTGGGACACCCAGGCCATCAAGGGATGGGAAGTAAAGCTCACCTTAAACTTGAGCTCCAACCAGAGACCAGTTGTCAAGTCAAAAAAATGAAGAGTTAATGAAACGAACTGGAGAAGATAGCATGGGTCATCCACTCAGGTATGCTAATGGGATCCAGTGTCCGTGGAATGCATGAACCAGGACCTTCTCCATATCATCCCAATGGTCATCTTTAACAGATCTGTTTTATTTTACTGGAAGCCGTAAAAACTTCAGTGTGATATTTCAGCACTGATACTTTCTTTAAGTCATTGAACACAGTTTCCCCATTACATCAGAGATTATTTTTAGCTTCCAGTTGCTTTTGTCTAGGAGGTCAGAAAGTGGCCTCCTACCCAAGCAGTCTCTTCCCTCACTTTTACTACATCCATCATCCCTGTTAGACCCAGCTAACGCACTCATTTTCTATCACTGATTTATTTTTTCAAAGACTCTATGTGTTCCCTACATACAATGTTGTTTAAGAATGCTGTTGTTTATTCTCCTTTTGGACATTGTGGCACTTAGCTTGAGCAATTGTTTGTCCATAACGTGTCCTCTGCAGCACTGCACACAGTATCATACTCATTGTGCAGCTGGTGACTTTGATGTTGGGCTGTGTTGTAATGCCCAAAGGAGAAATAAATTACACCGAAGATGATGAATTACAGCTGTTTTCAGAATTCCTCCACTCCAGGCATTGTTTTATCATAGAGCTCTTGAGGGATTGTCTATGTTTTCCTCTGGGTTCTCTGTATGTGTTTTGTGGAAGAGGTGAACCTACAGGATATATGTGAATGGGAGTTTGAGCATTGGGACTGGGAAGCTGTTCCATATAAAAGCATCTGCCAGGTGAAAAACCTTGAATTTATGAGTTAGGACTTTAACTGTAACAGAAGGAAATGAAAAACATGGAGATTGGTGTTTATAGCAATGTGAAGGCCGAACAGTTTTTGGTATTGCAGAAGTACCATGGAGCTCCAACTGTGAAGCTTGGCTGGAGATGCCAAAGTCCAGAGGTGCCATCCAAAACACAACATATGACCTATTGCTAAAGCTTAGAGGCCCATAACCCTACACAGTCTATGAAATTTGTTTCAGAACATGAATGATCCTGGAAACAGAGCACAGGAATCTTCCTCTTTGAAGGAGAATCTCAAGCCAGAGCCCTCTCAGGGTTTCTCACATGTGTAGGCAAAAAACAAATTTCTGTGTTCCAAGTCTTTACTAGCAAACAAAATGAGACATCTCAGAATCTGAGTCAGAGTCTGACGAGTTGGAAGGAACCCGTAAGGATCATCAAGTCTAACTCCAACACCACAAAGCTATCTCAAGTGGCCCTGTTTCTGTCCATGTGACAAAACTCTCTTATCTTAAACCAGAGAGGTTTAGATGCTGCCCATGGAGCATGGGCTCTCTTCCAAACCATATGTAAAAGTTGCTATGAGAAACATGGGCTAGTGCAAACCACTGATATGCCAGAGTGTGCTAACAGCTATCTGCATAGAAAAAGCAGGACAATGCATGAATTGGTCCTCTAGCACTGTTTACTTAATTGGTGCTCTGGTATTGCTTAGTTAATTAGTGATCTAGCACAGTCTAATTAGCACACAGCCTCTTTGTCCTTGTTTACAGAAGATCAGAATGAAATATTTTGATGACAGAAGCATTTTCTGGATGACTAACATATTTTAGGAGTGACGGGAAGCATAAAGGATGTTGTGAGGGATAGGATGGATGGTGGGGAAAGATTCCAGGACTGTACAAGGAAATAAGGAGATTTGGGTGGACTTGATGAGATCCATTGGGAGCTACTGAGCACAAAGATGAGGATATAGTCATTTGTCAGAGAGGCCCTAAAGCACAAACTGAATTGCAGACATTGGGAGGGGTCACTGTGTGTGTTTACTGGTTTACTGGTAGCAGCTTTATGCCTGCTCTGCTCTTACAGGCCTTTCCTAAGCATCTGCTCTTGGCTGTTTTCACTAGGCTATTGGCTAGATGGATCTTAGGCATGACACGGTTCAGCCCTACCTGTATCTTTATTTATTGAATATATCTCTAGAAATTAAAGCCTCAGTTTTATTTTTCAGAGCAAAAGCCAAGGTTCCCATTCTTCTGCATAGCAGCAATTCAACATCACACCTTTATTCAGGATAGTATCAAGCACATTGCTAAGTACACATTAATGTAAAGCACATGCTCCTCTTCTCGACAGAGATGGTTTTAAATGTATTAAGTAGGAACAGAGAAGATTCCTTCCAATGTTCACAGAGTATTTAATTTCTCATTATTTTTTTTCTATATTCTTTGTCTTTCATGGCTGAGTTTGAGTTGATTGACACACTAATAAACCTATAAGCATTCCTAACTTATCAACATCTGGCAACAAGTTCGGACAACATGAGTAGAAACACTTCTGCTATATAAGTAAAAAAGTCTACCAATACACTATCCTGAAAACACTGACAATACCTTGATCAATGGTACAGTTCTTAATAAATATAGTACTGTAGCC